TCATAGTGGGACGGGAAAAAAAGTAGTAATGAATAAAGGGTGACGGAGAGAGGCAAGCGTGAGAGAAAGGCTCAAGCAGGAGAAGAAGAGAATTTAAGAACATTTACTTTAAGGGTGTAACTACTCGTTTCGGGATTGTTGCATGAGATAACAGTGTAGAGGATTAAAGAGATGATTTTTGAATTTGGTGACATAAAAAGCTGGGTTTCATCTGTAGGCCGTGCATTATGAACATACTCAATACATTTTGCTAAAATAAAAAAACAAAAAAAAATAGCAACAACTGAACAATTGACAAGGACAAGATATTCATAAACACTGGCATAAATAAGAGAGCTATCTACTACCCTAAACTGAATAAAGTGCGTAGTTTGAAAGTTACCCTTATCAATAGACACCTGGACAAGGTTATCCGGATCGACAGACGCCCGGACATGTTGACCCGGATCGACAGACGCCCCGACAGGTTGGCTCGGATCGACAGAGGCCCCAACAGGTTGGCTCGGATAGGCAGACACCTGGACAAGGTAACCCGGATAGGCAGACACCTGGACAAGGTAACCCGGATAGGCAGACACCTGGACAACGTAACCCGGATAGGCAGACACCTGGACAACGTAACCCGGATAGGCAGACACCTGGACAACGTAACCCGGATAGGCAGACACCTGGACAACGTAACCCGGATAGGCAGACACCTGGACAACGTAACCCGGATAGGCAGACACCTGTACAAGGTAACCCGGATAGGCAGACACCTAGACAAGGTAACCCGGATCGACAGACAGCTGAAGAAGGCTGAAGAGCACAACAGCCGAAATCTTGTGATCGTAACAACTAAAATGATGGCATCAGTCCCTTTTTAAATAATCTCGTCCTGGAAAATCAGAGAAAAAGTTAGTATTATATGGCAGGACTTTTTTTTCTGTCATAGTTCAGTAATTTTCAAAATGAAAATGACCTTGAACCGAGGATGCATGAAGCAATATATGCATAATTCAAATTGAGGTGTGCGCATTTCTAGCTTTACAACTTGTAGAAGATAATAAGAGTCTCTTTAAATATATTCCTATTTACATAACTATTCTCTGAATCATACACAAACATCCGCACATATTTATGTGAGACAGAGAGAGACTCAATACGCTAACATATTTTGGGTGGACTAAAATGTTATCTTTTTATTGTTAGATGATTTTTGAATCGTACACATGTAACGTCTTCACTAAAAATGTTTTTTCATAGGTAAATTTCCATGCCTTATTTCCCTGCCGCATTTCTGTCATTTTGGAATTGAGAATATCCCTCTACCATCAATGTTAGAGAGCTCAATCTATCTTAATATTTAAGCCGAATCTCAGTGACGAATTGATAGGTTCGAGTTTTTGTCTACGGGCTTTACTGCTACTCTAAGCACAACAGACTGTCGGAATTTGAACCCGTATCAACAAATAACATTTTTTTAAAAACAAGATTAAGTTTACTTTACTTTCCTCCATTTTTCATTTTTATTTTTTAGGTGCCATGCATGAATTTAGGCGATCATATTTCTTTTTGATTGACTGACTTGGAACTGGTTTTCCTGTAGCAGACAGCCGTTCCGTTTTGTATTTAATAAGTTTCCAATCAAGGCTATTTTAGGCAGTTTCTCCTGATACTTAACCCATAGCTGGGGGAGAAGATGATTTTGCGCTTAAATGAATTCGACTGGAATTCGAACTCGGCTTTCCAATTTCTAATTGCGAGCCATTATTCATTATACCGCCCATAAATACAAGCTTACACGAATTACCTTGTATTCAAGTAGTCACCCCTGATCAAGACCTATGATGCTTAATTTCGGTGATCGGGGGAAAACCAGTGTTTCAATGAGTTTCGGGTGATCATGGCTCTCCATATTTTCCTGTTCTATGTTGTTCTTGATAAATTTTGTTTTTTTGTCATCTCATCCATTTATTCAAGGTCGCTAGGTAGGCTGTTTTTCATTGTCATTCTTGCCTCCAGTATGACCTCTACCAAATTTTATGACCCCTTTTTCGTCAGAATTTCCCCTACAATTATAACTGTCTCTTTCGGGTGTTAATTATAAATTTTCTTTTTGTTTCCGTTTTTGCGAAAACTTGATCATTGCTCACATGTTCGGTCTATGGTATTCTCAAGCATCCTTCTGTCGAATTTCTATTGCTTCAAATCTCTTCTTCATCTGGGAGAAAATCCTCCCCCATTCATTGCTATATTGAAGGACTGACATTACTTAACTGATCATTACTCTTTTCTTTGTTTCTTACGAAATTTTTGTGATCCTTAATACTTTCCTTAACTTTCGGAAGGCATTTTTGCTTATTTCACTGCTACTTCGGATTTTAGTGTCGCTCGTTCCGTCCTCTATTGAACATTTTCCCAATTGTTTTTTCTTATTCGATTTTATTAGGATCAATTAAAACGTATCAATTTTGACATTTCCAAGACAAACGACGCTACACGATTCAAAATACTTAAAGCCGTTGGACGAAAACCATGCCAGTTTTTATTCCATATTATGTTATATATTATTGGTGTCATTACGTTTTATTATGTTACTATTACTTTTTATTCCATGTTGGATTATATACTACTACTGTCATTAGGTTTTATTATATGTTATTGTCAGTGATTATTCTATGTTTTATATTCTATCGTTGTCAGTATGTTTTATTATATGATATTTGCAGTGTTTATTCCTTGTTTAATTGTATATTATTGTTATAATTATATTTTTATTATCTTATTGTCGATGTTTATTACGTATTTTATTGTAAACTCTTGTTATCATTATGTATTATGTTATTGTCAATGTTTATTCCTTGTTTTATTGTATACTATTATTATTGTTTTATTAGACTTTATTGCCAGTTTTTATTGATTTCGAAGACTAACTTAAATAAGGTTAAATGCACGCAATTTCTTTATATTTGTATATAATTTTATGTTATCTATAAAAATGAAAAAGCAAAGCAAATATTTATCTTAAAAGTTAATCTGTTTCCTGACACGTTCTTAAAGCTTAAAAATCTATACTACATTTCTTTCTGTACAATTTTATAGGTTTATTTTTTATACATTAATTTCAATATATACACTGAACTTTATGTCTTACAGCAGTGATTGTAGTGTATCTACATATCTTCTTGATAATGTCATATAATTTTAAAGTGGCAGCTATGATTTCTTGTGTGTCACCCTTGTCGAAATCAGTTTCATAACGACTGTGTGTTTTTTTTTATGGTATGACATCAACTGTTGACACTGTTTAATCGATTTTGTCAATTTTTATGGGCGATAGCTTTTTTACGGGATCGAGTCTTTTCACATAGGACATCATTGCTGCCAATGTATAAGTGTCTGAAAATCAGATAACAATACCAAGATGTTGTGTTAAGGCTCCACAATCCCTAACTAAATACAGGGACTTATCCATCACCTCCTCCAATGGCGGTTGTGTTCTGAGTACCTAATTTTTAATCAAATGCAGAAGGACGTATAATTAGGTGTTATATACTGGGATGATGCCTTAGATAATTTATGACACGAAGAAATACTTCCACTGCTAAGGGAAAGTAATTTATCTGGGTAAATTTTCAGAATAATACAGAATATACAGGGAGCAAGCAGTCTGCATACGGAGAAAATATGTATTGAGTGTTTAATCCGAAGTACAGGTTGCGATCGGTAAATTGTCGACATTTTATATATTCAATTTTGCGCCTGCGCGTTGGTGCTTTTTTATTTTGTCGACTGCACAACATAGTAGGCTCAGTTGGGCACTGTCTGTGAGAAAACGAGCACCGTGACACAAATCCATCCGCCAGAAATTTGGAAATGACATGCTGTACTGCTTGGAATTCCACCGGAAACTGCAATATGAACGTTTCAAAGTGTTTGGATGTCAATCTGAGGACAATGCAGATGGTGCGTGAAGAGATGGATGAGATATCTAGTCAATATCATGATGTTTGGAGTGATCGCTAGTGATGACGACGTTATACCTCCATTCATCAGGGCTTCATACTCAACACAGAGTCCTACATCCAATGCCTTGAGTTTCAAGAGGAAGACCTTATGTCTGGCAACGAGACTCTACACCATGCCACACAATCAGGAAAATCCAGTCATGGTTGTCAGAAAAAATTTGCGACTACATCACTCCTTACATCTGGCCACCTAACTTCTCAGACTGCAAACCCCTTGATTATTATATATGGGGTGCAGTTGAACAAGAGACCAACAAAACTCGTTTTAATACCAAAGATCAACTGAAGGCAAGGATTATGGCAGAATTCACCAGCGATTTTATTGACTAAATGTACTCTTTAGCCCTTCAAGCTACTCTTATGTCATTTTGGTAAATATATCTGTTAAAATGATATGTCAGTGTTATTTTCATTTTTGCATAATTTAGACAACATCGCACCCTGTAGAAAGTGGTAAAAGACAACGATGTCTCTTCACTACTGGATTTATTTAACCCATACTTCCGTACAATACAAAGAATTAGGAAGAATTTTACGAGAATAAGATATATTGAGGATATGCTGATGGCTGACGCCGATAAGAATCTGCATGTACTACTAGTCAAGGTAGCAAACGAAAAGAAGAGAGTGATGTCTGACGATTGTTAAAATAGAAAAACTATGTTTTTCGGCAAGAGAAATAGTCCAAAATGCGATCTACGAGTTGGAATGGCAAAATTAAACTAATACAATGATTAAATATGTGGGTAATATTTTAATAGGTGATACGAAATGTGATAGAGGGAACATTGAAAAGGTATAAGATGACTTCCGAAAACTAAATCTTCAGACACAGGAAATTTATCGTTAGAAATAACGAAAGAGTACAAGACTTCTATGTAATCCACATATATAGCAATCAATGTTGTATAATTTCCTCACAGACAGATAGGAGGTTTGAAGGAAGAGAAAAGTAGTTCTACAGCGGAATACTGACAATACCATAGACAGAGTATATAAGAAAATGGATGTTCTAAAGAAAACGGAAAAAAAGCAAACATTTGAAATTTCTAGTCTAGAAAATGAGGAAGTGGGCTTTGAAGGGGAAAAATAAAGGATAAATAGTATGTAACCTATCTAATGAGCTTGTGTGAATGGATAGCAGAACAGAGATTGGAGAGAGAGAAAAAAAAAGACAAACATTGCTTAGAGATAAACCTGAGAGGAAACTGCAGAGCATTGATCGCTCAAATCCTAAATAGTCAAGGAATATCGAAGTAAAAGAGATTTCGTCAGGCTGCTTCTTATATGGCATAACGGACAATAGCACAGAAAATGTCTCTTATTAGTTTTAGATTACTGATCAATCCTTCTAGGTAAAGAATTTTCAATGATTTATAGGTATTTTTAAAAAATATATAAAATATCGTTTTCTTCCCGGATACAACGAGAAAAGAGCTAAAACTTACGAGAGTTAAAAGACATGCAATATATTATCGACGGCTATAATCTTAACACTGAACCGAAAAGGGAACTTCGAATGTGAACGGTAAAATAATCGACACATCGTTAATTCTAGGAAGGTAGAATGTATGGGAGTCAGAAACACATGCAACTAAATGTGTGAGATTCAAATTAAGAACTCAGAAAAGGAAAACTTGGGTAGATGAATTTAAGTGTCTGAATAGTGTAATGACGCACCACAGAAACTAGGTTCCGAAGGCACATCGAAATAATGAAAGAGGTCTGTATATATTTTTCTATATGTC